CATCCTGCTCCCTGGAAGCCTCCCGTCTCCACCTAGCTCCTTATGGGGTCTTCCTCAGTGCCATCCTAGAGGCCCCACATGGGGGAAGAACTATCAGCATTTTCCAGATGGGGGAGTGAGTCATAGAGTAGACAAAGTGACTTGCCCAAGGTCAGTCAGGGCATCTGTGGCAGAGCCAGAATTGAACGCAGGCCTTCTGAGAATCCAGGTCTTCTAGCACCTCAGAGTGTCAGGCCAGCTTTCCTGCAACTCGTGTTACTCTCCTGAGGAGAGCTTTTTGGCCACCTCTTCCACATGTGAGCACACAGAGGGCTCTTGCTTGGTTCCTACAGGGTTCCTCCTTTTCCTCCTGTGTGTGGAGGTCTATCATGAAAGCTCACCAACCCAAATGCTAGGTCTCCTTGCCAGCCATTCACCTGGGTTACCATGGAGGTGAGGGGAAAAGTGATGATAAACTAAACAAAATACACTTGTAGCATCTGTAGGGCAACAAGGATGATAGGTGGTATGGAGGAGCGTCCATAGGAGGAGAAACTAAAGAGGCCAGACCTATTCAGTTTAGAAAAGATTCGCTTGAGGGGGGAACATGATAAGGGCTTAGAAAATACTAAAAGGCAGAGAGAAAATAAATAGGGATTTATTATTCCAACCCTAATATTCTATGATTCGATGATTTGCTCTCTCTCACAGTACAGGAATTAAGGGTCACAAAATGAAACTAGTAGATAGTGAATTTAAAACTAACAAAAAGAAGTCCTTTTTCACAGTGTGCAATTCAAGTGTGGAGCTCATTGCCACCAGATGCTGTGGAAACTGATAATTTAGCTGGATTCAAAAAGGGATTGGACAAATTCTTGGAGGAAAGGGGCATCAGTAGCTATTGAGCGTAGGAGTTAGGGATGCAGCCTTTGCATTAGAACTTTCTATACCTTAAATGCTGGAGGCTGCAACAGAGAGGAACACTGGAAAACCCCTGATTATACCCAATTCATTCTCCCTTCCAGCATTTACTCTCTGCCTCTATGAGACACAGGATACTGGGCAAGATGGACCTATAGTCTGACCCAGTAAATGTCAATTAAGTTCATATTCTCCCCTGAAAAGCAGACGGGCAGGACCATGCCAAAACATCAGGAAATCTCCATCCCAAAACCTTCACTGTCTGCTTTATGTTTTACGGCTGTTTTGCTCAACTGGGCAGCTCCCTGCAGACTGTCAGGTGAGAACACCTGATCCTGCCCTACACAGGTCAGGGATGTAACATGCCTGGCACCTACCCTGCAGCCTTTCGGCAAGCAAAGGCAGATATTCCTAGGAACGGGTTGGGATTAGACAGCAGTGAAATGGGGATCGGAAGTGCAGCTTCAGTTGTACCCCCTGGCTCCACAACAGTGTGAGCTGGGGCAGGCCGGGGCAAAGGAGCCAGGGCCCTCGTCTGGGAGCTGAGTTTCGATAGAGTTGAGTCAGCCGGGAGGCAGACAGGAGCTTTGCATTCTTAATTGAGTTTTTTGGCAGCACTGGCAGGTGATGTCACCCCCTCTTGGTGCCCTGAGTGAGCCGAGCCCACAGGCCCCAGGGGCCATTGCCTCACCTGTACAGAGGGAGCCAAGCAGGTTGTCTGTTGCCAGAGATGAGAGGAAAGAGGGGAAGCTTGCCTCTGTGGGGGGCCTTCCTACTGCACATACCCTCCCCAGCCTTGGCACCGCATCTCCCAGAGTGCGAGTGTGAGGCTGGGAGTGACAGCTGGCACAAGGCTCTTGCTGTTGGCACCCTTGCCACCCATATCCAGCTTGGAGGCCTCCACAGGAAATGTTCCTTTCTCACTCACCCTCCCAACAATGCTCCCTGCAGTTTCATCCACCCAATAGCTCTGCATGTCTGAGAGACAGTAGTGGAGGTCCCAGGCTGAGCTGTGATTCACAGAGAATTTAACTTTGCTCCTTGCAGTCTGTTTCTGTGCCCTTTACTGTTGGCCCTCTGGACACGGTACCCCAGTGCCTTGGGTTTTTGGCTCCCACTGACTTTGAGGGGCAGAAGAGTTCCCCACCCCATGTGATGGCAACCCTGGCTCTGCAGCTGCTAATCCTTCCACTGCTATTGCAAGGCCCTGTGTGATGGGAGGCGAGGCTGTGGCTGTCTCTCCTTTGCATCTTGCTTTCCTCTCATAGCTGCTGCCCAGAGGGACACCGCCATTCTTTCCCCCAGTCCCATGCCACGTCTTTGCACATTCTCTCATCATTGCTTTATTCCTTGGACTTGCATGCAAGGAGCCAGTTGTTGAATGGGGAGTTGTACCCAGATCTCCCAGAATGGTGGTCTACCTGACCAGCCACCCCTCCTACCCTTGCGCTACCACCTGCTCTGTGGGTATCTCTCTTTTCTGTTGTCTCTGTGCACCCCACCTTCCCTTCCCCCAATCTCATGCTGTCTTCCTTGGGGAACAATAGTTACACAATGCCCAAGGCCACTCTCCCCAGCTCCTGGTGTATTTTTATCTTTTCTTGCTCACCAGCTCTGGTTGCTTTTGTCTAAGCACTGTGGAGAGGGAGCTGTCAGCTGGGCTTGGAACTGCTTTGTCTTCTTGGAGTGAGCAGAGAGGAGGCATGGCCATTAAGACCATTATAAAATTGGAAGTCTCTTTCTTAGCACCAGTATTCAACCTGCAGGGGTGCCATCCAGTTCCCTGCTTCCCAGAGGCTGAGAACTCTGGCATCCGGCTGTGGCTATGTGGCATCAGAGATGGGAACCCACCCACTGCCACTGGTGAGCTCAGGCACAGTAGCTGGGTCGCTGGCTGCACTTGTAAAGCCCCCCTAGGTCCCACCAAACTGGGAATCCTCCTGGAGAGAAGCTCAGCCTAGAGGATCCTGCCCTGTCACTCCTGGAAGAGTGTGACATGATCCTATGGGAGAAACAGAAGGCAAAATGCAGGGGAGCTTGGGCAAGACTAGGGAATAATTTAGACTAGTATGTGCCCCCAGCATCAGACTGCCTGGGGTTGAACTACCATCATGGGGAGGGACCTCAAGGTCATGTGCTGTCACCTCAGGACATCAGCTCTGAATTCAGAGGGGTTTCTTTACCTTGAGCACTCCCACCTTGGCCTCCTCACCATTGCCGAAGGAGACAGAGACTCTCTTGATATCCACACCCTTTGTCTTCTCCCCCTCCCAGCTCTAGACCTTGTCTGCTTGCATCACACCACGCAGAACACAGAGCAGGAAGGATGGCCCCTCTGGCCAGATCCTTCACGTGGCTTCCCATTGTGAACATAGCTCACCAGAGATGATGAATGCAGTATTAGATATAGCCAGTCTCCTGACTTGGGGCTACCTTTGTGAAGTCCCTCTCCCACCTCACAAAGTCACTTGCTTGCATTGGCATGGGCTGGACCACTGCCTGTTCACTAAAGTAGCACCATTAGGTTTGGTTTGAGTCCTGTGAAAAGGTGTTGGCTCTGACAACTGGGCAGTCAGTCCCTGTGCTGGATGGGACAGGAGGCTGTACCATGCTAGCTTAAAGACCATCATCTTTGAGTTGTACCTCATCTTTGCGTGCCTTTCTAGCCTGGTCAACTCCATGGCCTCTGGGCCCTACCACAGCCGACAGCTCATTCAGAGTCTGCATCCTGAGGCTGTCAGAAGCTGGTGGCCCTGCAGGAGCAGGGAGCTTGTCTTGGGAACAGGGGGTGGGAGATTTTCAGTGCTGCCAAGAGGACTTAGCTGTCCAATTCTCAGTCTCTGTATTGGGATGCAGGTGTGTCAAGCCTTTAGGTTAGTTGGCAAACAGCAACTTGAGTCTTTCTGTCGCTGTCCAGTGTCCCCTCTTGGTTGACTCAGGAATGGTGGGCATGGGGACTAGCCAAGGGGGTAACTTGGGAGGGCTCAGGGAGTAGGGGGTGGGAGTTTTTCTTGGGGCATGCCTCTTTACTTAATCTTCTGACCTTCCCAACTCACCTTTGGGACAGTAGCTGCATTTGCTGCAGATCTGGCTGAACCCCGAGGGATTTGAACCGGTATGTTTGTCTCCCTCTAGCAGTGCCAGCTGCCCAACATGCTCCCATGCCAATCACCCTGGTGGCAGGACCATAGTTGCTCTCAGCAGGGGTCCCTTTGTTGAGTTGAGAGGGTCACTTTCACTGTCAGTTGGAAGGGTGGATGGTGGTGCCAGAAGCTTTATATCCCACCTGGTAGCTGGCACAGGCTGCTGAAGGCATCAAACCCCAAATTTTGAGATGCCCCATCTCATCTCTCCTACAGCCTGGGGAGAGGAGCTGGCAGGGCTAGCACTTCCAAGGCTCCAAGTGAGCATAGCCCCAGGCATACTGCCCTAGGAAATTGGGGTGGTTTGTCCCACCCTTTTGGGTTCATTAATCATCCAGGTGGGAGCGAGGGCTTTCTCCTCCTTGCATCCATCAAAGGGCTAATGCCTAGCTGGCATTGTGCAGAAGGTAGGGTGCCCAGCTGGCAGCTCCATTGAGTCTGACCCCACAGAACAGCCTGCCCTTTTGCCTGGAGTGCTTGGAGGAACAGGAGCTGAGCTTTGTCCCCACCCACAGCAGCTGCATAACCACGTTGGGGCTTCCTGAGTAAAGGGGGCCGAAAGGGCATGCCTGCCTTGGCACTGTCCCCTGGGCTTAGCCTTCCCTGCCCTGTGGCTGGCAGCTCAGATGGCAGATTAGATTGGTCACTATGAAGGAAAACCCCTCCCTCTTCCCCACCCTCCCACCAAGCTGATGTGCCTGTGCCCCCGAGGAGATCCTGTGTCCAAAGTTAATTTTATATTCTCCCGTTACAGTCAAGAGGCAACAACAGGGAGAGGGGAGGAGGCTCCAGCCACCCTTTTGGAAATCAGGATTTCCAGGCCAGTTCTGCCTACTGAGCCACCACAGCCCCTGCTCCCTCCTTCTGGGATACAATACGGTTTAAGGAGAATCTGCCTTTCCCAAGGGTCTCCTCTTGCTCAGTTGTGACACAAGTGTTTCTGTCTTCCCTTTGCAGGAGGAAGAGAATGGAAACCGGGCAGGTAAGTGCTCTTCAGTAGCCACCCCTGCAGCTCACATGGCCTATACTCCATGTGAATGCAAGTGTGAGAGAGTGCTTGTGTGTGTGTGTGGCATGTGGGTGCATGGAGTGATGTTCGTGTGAATTTATGTGAGCATGTTTGTGCATGTGAGTTTGTGCAAACCCATGTGAGCGTGTGTGTGTGTGTGTGTGTGTCTCGTGGGTGCATGGGTAAGTATGTACCTGTGACTGTGCCTGTGAGGGTGAGTGAGTATGTGTGGGTGAGAGGTGGGGGGATGAAGGGAGCTTCCCCCGTCATGCTGTGAGATTGACCAGCACAGACTTCCAGTCTGTCGACTAAGAAAGACTAGTGGAAAAAAACCCAGATACCTGCTTATTTGTCAAAAACTGTGTAGCTGGCCTCAGTGAGCAGAAATATGCACTGTGGATCTGTCCAAGGACAGTGTGGCCAGGTGGGGTGGGGCGTGTGTGTGTTTGTATTTCTGTCATGGGGCTCTATTCACCAGCTCCTCTTGGAGTTAATGGCCATTGAGCTGATAACACCACCCTAAATATAGGCTCGAAATAAACTGGATCAGCGATTTAGCTGCAGCTCAGGAGGCCTGGGAAGGAGTTGGTAAAAATCTTGGCTTCCTCATAGCTGCAGACATTCACATGGGTGCTTGCAGTGAATGGTGATGGTGTGGGGGCATGTCTTGGGCTACAGGGGATGGATGCCCCTACACCCATACATGCAAGTCTGTTCCCTTTGCTCTCTTTCCAGAGGTGGCATTATTCTTTTCCAGTCCCCCAGCGGCCACCCCACTGTAATTACCTCAATCTCCCAATGGGCATGATGGCACCATCAGAGCAGAATTTAGTGAAGCCTGCCCTGCCTGCTGCTGGGGAGCTTGCCAGGGTGAGCTGGCACGTGACATCTGTTTCAAGGCGCAGTTTGTGAGGGACTAAGACCAGGGCAGCATACTTCATGTGGGGGTCCTTAAGATCTCTCCATGTCCCCACAAATAAGCAAGGACCTTCCAATCCACACCGCAGAGCTGATTCACTCTTGCCTTTCCCCAGGCTTTTGGGGGCTCTTGGCTGGCTCCTGGGGAGGGGAATCTGCTTATTCATAGGTTTTGGTGCTGCTAACGCTGGGATTTCAGCTGGGATCTGTGACCTGATGAAAGTTTATACCTCAGAGGCTATTGCCTTAGCTTTAACTTAGTGGAAAAGGGGGCAGCAGCATTTGGGTTGGGGACATGTGTGGATGCCAAGTAACCCCCCCCCCCCCTCCAGTGCCAGGCGGCAGGAGCTTCAATACATAAATCCTGTCCCACTTCACCTTGACTTTAGCTGGCCTGCAGCTTGGCTTTGGACTAGTTTTCTGCTTCCTTCCCCAAGCCAGTGCCAAGTGGCGTCCCTGGCATGACAGTGATGGACAGGCACTCTGCCTTCCAGTGTCCATCAAGTCTGTCTGTGGGCAAGTGTAGCACTCAGGAAGTGGGCTAATGTCACAGGGATGCAGGGCACTTTGGGCTGTCGCAGCTCATCCATCCTCATTGCAAGGCCCAAGTTATTTTAGTCTTGCTTGATGCCTTCTCCGTGTCCAGTGCTGCCAATGTGACCTGTGTATTCCAGTCCTCTCCTTCAGCCTCTTTATTACTCTAGTCCTGCTCCTCAGCTTTATTAGTGCCCTTCAACCCTGGCCTGCAACCTCCCCACTCCTCCCATCCCAGTCCTGGGCTCTCCATGTGCACCAACCACTCTGCAAATGCCACCCCCCAATCCAAATCCTGCTGTTCCTGTTTTGGGTTCCTCATGCGTGGCTCTGCCTGCTACTGATGATCAGCCTCCCTTGGTGTACTAGTCCAGGAACCCTATTGCACCTCCAGCAATACACCAAACTCTCTTCAGTCCTGTGGTCAATGGGGGCTGGGCCCCCAATGTCTGTAGGGTGTTATCTGAGGTCAGCGTCAGTGTTGTGAAATTCTGCTGGATCCATCCTGGGGGGATTGCCTATGTATTTCAATCCAGTCCTTGAGCATCCTCACTCAGTGCTCTACTGTTGCATGTGGTGCCCTTGCAGCCTTCTCTGCATTTCTGCTCACTCTTTACCCTTCTGGACAGAGTCATGGAGTGGTTTGGCTTCTGGGACCGAACTTAAGTTGGACTCAAATTCTTCCAGGTGCATTATTTGGTCTACTAGGGCTTGAGGAATGGGAATGCCCAGGGTCAGGGGGATCCATCCTGTAGACCTGTGGCTAAGGGTCGGGTGTCGGAGGGCAAGGTGGCAGGTTTGGAAATGGCTTGCTCATGGTTAATGGAGCTATGGATTGTGCAGAGGATGGGGCTAAGGCACAGCGCTTAGGCACTCCACCTCAAGGCAGGCGTTGAGTTAAACAGATCTGATGCAGTCAGAACAGATAGCAGTGCTCCCTGCTTGATGAGGAGCTTTCAGGTTGGTGATCCTTACTCAGTGCCAGGCCTGTGGGGCGGGGACAGGCTGCAGAGTAAGAACAGATGGAGGCTGCAAAGGCCCCCAAACAATGGGAATTTGGTGCCCTTTGGACTCTCTCTCACACAGGTCTTTCTGCCAGTGGATATGAAGTCTCTCTAGGTAAATACTGCCTCCCCCCACCCCAAGCTCCTTCCTCCATGGCTGTCCCCCACTCATTTCCCATTCCCATCCCATACCCCAAAATCACTTGCATCTCCTTGCCATGACCCCAGACCTTGACAGCTGTAAAGGACTGTGGGATGGTGATGGGTCAGGACAAAAATGATGCACCTGGGCTTTGAGTCTGGGGGGGTGATAGGAAGAGAACATGTAGTTCTGGTGAAACTCTGTAGTCATAGCCTGCTACCCCTTGGGACTGCTGACTCCGGGCTTTGTTCTTGCTCCTGTAGCCGCATCCTTTCCTCCTAGGAAGGCACAGGGCCTCCAGGAGTTCAATGGGGGACCCAGCATAAAATGAATGATCCGGGCTTTCATCCCGGGAAGAGGTGGTATGTCTCAGCCATGGTAGAGTATAGTCCTTTGGGAGGGGGAGGTGTTTAGCCTTGTAGAGCTATAGTGTGTAAGTATGATTCGGGGGTTGTTTAATTGGTGTATGGGTATGGTCTGTATGAAGTGTGCGTGAACCCCACAGTAGATGTGTGCAAGTGGAGTGTGTGTGTGTGCACGTGTGGGTGTGTTGCAAGGGGAACTCCTGTGATATGCTCCTGCTTCCCTTGCCAACCAGGTTGTCATGGTCCTTTTCTTTCTGGGAACAGGTCCCCAACGGAGCCGCTTGGAGCCCATGGACACCATCTTTGTGAAGAATGTGAAGGAAGATGGGCCTGCACACCAAGCTGGCCTCCGCACAGGTAAGTACGGGTGTGTGTCTGTGTTTTGGCTTCTTTAGCAGTGTGAGGGACTGGCTGCAGTCTGCCCTGCACTGGGTACCACTGATTGCCCCTTTGTGAGTGTGGGGAATCAGAGGAATCTGAAAAAGCCAGTGGCCAAGTGCTGCTTGTGGGGGAGTAAGGAGCTTGTTTGGGGAAATAACCCCCTGTTTGGTTTGGTTTTTGTCTCTTTTAATCCCATGTCTTTTGGTGAATGGGAGAAAAATAGTCTGTTTTAAAAACTCCAATGGCCACTCAAAACCCTGCATCCTTAGCTGGAGCCTGGCAGAACACTCTGCTCCAAGGAGGAAGATAGGCTTTTATTTTGGGTATTAAAAACAAGAAAAAAAAGCTAAAAACACTGTATCAGGGAGAGGCCCAAATTCACCCTCCCCAGCCTTCTGCAGGGCCTGTTCCTCCCAAGGTCCAAATCCTGTGGGGTAGCCTGTAAAATGTAGGGCCTGCTCCAAAACCCATTGGAATCAAGAGAGAGGCTCCAACAGAGTTGGGGTCAGAGCAGGGAATAGGCAGGCACTCTCCTGTATTGGCTGCAAAGCCATTTCACACAGATAGGAGGAAGGGAACTTAGGTCCTCCTAGTTCCAGCCAGCTCTTTCCAGGCCCATGCCAGTTCCCTCGCTTTATCTTGACTCCACTCAGCTGGGGAGCAGGGGCTGGTAATGGAGCTGAGTCAGAGCCAAAATTGTTTCTGAAGTGGCAATGAACTAATGGGGAGAGGGAGCTGATAGGACTTCTAGGGTGCACAGGAAATGGCTGAGCTGTAATGGATCTTTAGTGCTATCTCCATAAACCCATGCCTGGCTTGTGCTCCTTGTTGTCATCCCCATCCCTCTGGGGTTGCCTGCACTGCCCTTGTCCCAGCTCTTCAGTACTTTGTAAGCTGCCTTTGGGGTGCAGAGCATGACGGTCCCATCATCAGGGAAAGCTAGTAGAACGCAAAGCTAACAGTGAAGCCAGGGTGTGCTGCATCAAGGTGTGAATCTCCCTGTCCATCTGGAGGCTCCCAGGACCTTTTGGCCCTGAGCAGCATGGAATCTGTGCTTGGGAGCTGGCAGTGCCTTTTGCTGGCCAGAAACTGTGGGGCTAATGGAAGCAGGTGTAGGGTGAGGAGTGGAAACAGCATGTGCCTGTATGTCTGGGTCTGTAGAGAATCCTCAGCCTTTCCTCTTTATTGCTGCAGAGCATTTGGAAACCAAGGGCACCTGTGCATGAGTGCAGAGGCTGCCCTGATGCACTGGAATTCCAGCCTCCTGTGTCTCATGTATCAGCATCCCCACGCTTCAAAATGGTGATGGAGGCACTTGAACTAAAGCTTGTTGAATGAGCTTTAGTTCAAGCACTCCCACCACCATTTTGAAGTGTGGAGGCACTGATACAGGAGATATGGCAGTGCTTTAATAAGAGTGGCTCTTGGAGCTGCTCTGATGAAGGTGTCATCTCCCACACACCTGGAGCACATGTAAAAGTGCACCAACCGTTCCTGATCATGCCTTTGGATTCCCTACATTCCTTAGGCATCGATTTCCCCCTTTTTCCCTCCGTTTCTCATTCACTTTCTCTTTTGCCTCTCTCTTCATGCCCACCCTGTTCCCTGTTACCCAGGAGTTGCCAGAGTCTCTCTCTCCCTTTCGCAACTGCAGTGTTTTGGGGCTAGGATGCTTAAACCAGAAAATGAGAGCGGTGCCTCCTGAGATTGTTCCTATCTGTGATTTCTATTGCAGCTGACACTAGGACACTTTTCAGAGAGCTCCACTGTTCTCACCACTGGGCACAAAATAGTACAGACAGGCCTTACCTCAGAGGGCTGCCAGTCTGGGAGAAAATCATCCTTGCCTTTTTTTTCAAATTTGTTCTAGACATTTCTTGCCTTCTTCAGAGTGGGGACCTTGCACAGGGTTGTGGGTGGGTGAGAGGGGTCAGTCTCGTTGGCCCTTTTACATGGGCCGGTGTCTCGTATGACATTGTATGAATCGGTCATGTAGATTGTAGAGGACCATGTTGCTGCTGCCACCGCCCAGTGTTGACTGTCAAATGCAAGAGCATAGAACCTGGCAGCTTGGTCCCCTAGGTGTCGGGGGCGCCAGCAGGAACTGCTTTACAGGAACTCAGGGCGGGACGGCTTTTGCCCAGCTAAAATCATCAGGAAGCAAAAGGGAAGGAAGGCGATGAGTGCATAAGATCCTCTGGGCCAGATGTCACCTGGCATAGATTAGCACAGCTCTGTTGACAGTAGTGGAGCAGCACTGACTTACACCAATCAAGAGCCCCACCAGGAGCTTAGAGTGGTGCCAAGAGAGGCTGCTATCACCTCCGTGAGTTGTATTTGGCTGTCTTGCACCAGGCACTCATTAGCTCTGCCAGTGTCAAGGCATTGTGACAGCTGCAGAGGGGAACATGTCTGTACAACAGACTGGAACAAGGAAACTACATATGTGCGTGCAGAGGAGAGCAGGTTCTCTAGGGTCATTGGTGAGGACAGATGGGACCTCTCAATGTGCTGAGATGCACTGACACTCCTGGGGCATGGTTGGACCTTTTATTGAGTGGCATGTCTTTAAGGGGTGTCTTGTGTTGCTGTGGTTACTGCAGATGTTTTCGCTCCCTGCCCCCACCCCCCCATTCACTCCTGTGGTGTTCCCCTTCTTCTGCAGGAGACCGTCTTGTCAAGGTGAATGGGGAGAGCATCATTGGGAAAACCTACTCCCAGGTCATAGCACTGATCCAGAACAGGTGAGTTCACTCCCCACTGGGTACAGAGCAGGATACATATCCTGGGGAGAGTTCATGGGCTGAAGTTCAGTGACCCTGAGGGGCTGAGACCAGAATATTCACACTCACATTAGGTTGCTAAGACCTCAGTTTTCCCAAGTGCTTGGTGATTTAAGGGTAACCAGTTTGAGACCTCTCTGGCCTGATTTTTATCACATGCCAAGCACTTGCTCCTGGAGGAGGTCTCAAGTCAAGTCCATAATCCTAGAATTACAAGGATGGAAGGGATGTCAGGGGTCTAGTCCAACCCTGGCACAGGTGCAGCAGGCACTTGTCCTCAAGCATCTCCAACAGATGTGCAGCCAGCCTGTAAGGCCTATCCAGTTGCCAGAAGTCACCAGTCACTTTTGAAAAGTCTTGGTCCTGAATCCATATTTAGGTAGTCTCAATTGGTCTTGCTCCAGTGGCACTGAATACTCAGCAGCCGGCACTGAGCTATGGACTCTGAGTACCTCTGAAAACTAGGCTGCCTATTTAGGGTGCCATCATTACAGATTCAGGTGCCGAATTCTTAACCCAAGTTTAGAAACGTTTGTTTTGTCTGATTGGATAGTAGGGGTGGACTGGTCAGAAGACCTGTCTCATTACAGCTGGGACTAGGCACCTCAGAGAGGGTCATGACCATAGTTCTTTTATCTATCTCCCTGGCACCTAGGAGATCTTCATGAGCCACACACATGGCATAAGACTTGGGTGTACGCTATTTTGTATAGGCATTACATAGCTCCAGCTTTACCATCCCAAGGGCTGCATTGAGAAGGAGTATCTTATCCCCAGCATACTTGGCTGCCCCTCCATTTGCTTTACATTTCTTCTTTCCCAGTCCTTCAAGAGGAGTGAGCTTCAGGAGCTCAGGTGCTGCCACCTTCAGGACTGGACTGCATTCTCCAGGCATTTGATGGGCATTTTCCACACTATGTACTTGCAGGGAGAATGTACGTTTGGCCTGAGGAGGGACAGCCTGGGGAGGGCGCCTCAGGTTTTCAGAGCAGCTGTAGGCACCAGGTAATTATGGCGGGTGCTAGCAGCCGCTTCCCATGTAGCCAAAAAGTCATTAAAGCAGCTCCATTCCCCAAGACCTTTGCCTTGAGGTATTACCTAAGTGGCTGGATCAGAGAAATCCAGCATGAATATGAGCCCCTTGAACATACCACCCCACACATGGCCTTGGAAATACCCTTTGGGTGCACAGATCCATGGCAGGCTGGTTTCAGGAAACCTTGTGTATCTTCTTCTATTGGGATTAGTGGTGCTGTTGCTGTTGCTACAGCAGTAGAAGGGTGTTGGGGTATAAGAGTCTGGTTACGGCTGAGCCAGCCTATATGGCAGAATCCACCCGCCCTTTGTGTCTCCAGCATGCTTGTTAAAAAGGCTGGGGGAAAGCCAACATGCCTCTCTCTTTACAGCAGTGATTTAATGAATGACCTGGATTTGTGTGCATCGCACCATCTAATTACTAATTAGATTACGTATGAGACAAAGCTGACCTGGATGGCTCCTAAGTATAGCAACTGGGGAATGAGCCAAGCAAAAATGATCTGGATATGAACTCAATATAATACATGGGCCTGGGCATTAATATGTATTTGGAAAAATATCAAGTGGCATGTCCTGGGGTAGTTGTGAGAGGGTGGGGGTGGGAATAGTGAGTACCAAACTGGGCTCTGAAGCTGAAGTGTAGCCACCTTGGGTTCATGCAGAGTTTCTTCTTGTGGCTTGTGCTTAGTGTCTGTTGTGCTCATGGTTTGTTGAGGAGGAAATACGCACCTTGGTGGCTGGGGCTGCCTGTAAGAGAGAGGCAGCCCCAGCCTCTTGTGGCTTGAGCAGGATGTGGGAAACCTAAACTCTCAGTTCTGGTCCTGGGTCTCAAGTGGAGTATGACTTAAGGGTTAGAGCAAGGGCACAGGGAGCTGGGACACCTAGGTTCCATCCTGGTTTCTAGGGGAGAATGTTGTCTAATGGTTAGAGCAGGGGGCAGAGAGGACTCTTGACCCCAGCCTGCTCTCTGGGAGGGAGGGTAGTCTGATGGTTAGTCTGAAGCAGGTGAACTAGGAGTCAAAGCTCCCTGCACTTTTACTGACCTAGGGTTAGCAGTGGTGACTTCTGCAGAAATGAGCTTGGAGGAGGTAGCGGGTGCTGCGGGAGGGAGGGAGCTACAGGTGGAGAGAGTGTCAGGGATAGGTGATGGGAGTCCCAGGGGTAGAGCAGACATGTCACAGCAGGCACCTGTCTGAGTCAGAAGGCAGCACATTCCTGCCCAGACCAGGCCTTGGCCTTGGAGCTGGTACTGACACGTGGCCCCATGCAGCAAATGGGTGGAGCATACACAGATGACAGGGGCTCCCCTTTGTCACAGATTGGCACTGCTTTTAGAGGAAGCCTTGCCTCAAGAAAGAGTCTTATTTGGTCTCCCTTTTATTAAGAAAGGGAAGTCATCCCTGGCTTGGCATCTCAGGGGGCAAGCCTGTGGCTCAAGATTTTGGCTTATCTTTGTCCCTGACTTCCCTGGTGATCCATAGCACCCTTGCCTCAGACAGCTCCTTCTTTTTGGTTAGCTCCCAGGAAAGCTATGTTCTCTTTTTCAAAGGGCTGGGGTGGGCATGAAGAGTGCCGACATCCCACAGCCGACTGCTTCAAAAAAACTAGTCTATACTGTGCCACTGCAGTACCCTTTGTCCTTCCTTGGACTTTGTTCTCTCCTCCCAGGTGCTATTCCTTTCTCTCTCTCTCTCTCTCTCTCTGTCTCTGTCCTCCCTGGGACTTTCTCTTGGTCATCCCTGAAACACCCTTTCTCTACTCCCCAGCTCTCTCAGAGCCTTGGTCTTTTTCTGGCCCACACAGTCACACTCCCAACAATGTTGTTACAAAGCTATAGTATGAATTTGGGGACGACACTTGCCCAATATAATGAAACCTACAGTCACAGGGAACTAATCAGAGAGCAGTCTCTGCGAACTGCTGGTAGGCCCAAACTGCTCTCTTCTCCTGGGGTGAAAAGGGCAGGCAAGTTATCCTGTGTATCGAACTATTTACAGCAACTGTTTACATCAACATGTGCTCACACTGATCCCCTTCCAAGTGTTCGTTACAAAAAGCTCAGCCTCTAGGCATTGAAACCAACTCCTTTTTGCTTCCCCAGACCTGAGGCTTTCTGGGTAGGAAAATGGCCCACTGGGGTACCCGGCTGCTGCCATTCCTTCTGTGGCTAACTTGCTGTGCGCTGGACTCCCAGCGCTAAAAAGCACAAGCCTCAGCCACTAGGGCTAAAGGGGTGACTCCCCTGACTGCATGTTAGGTTGCAGGTTTCTGTAGCTGTTCTGGGGACTATGGGGGAACTTTGTCCTGTACACAAAGTAAGGGCTGTAGGAATGGATTTGACCACCCAGTGCCCAAGATTGACTGTACCTAGGGCTTGAGGGGTTGTGCGTAGCTGGGGAACTGAGCCGGAATTTCACTCCAAGTGTCCCAGGAGCCCAAGCTGTGCCTTAATCCTGAGCCACAGGCACTGCAGTAGCATTTTGCAGCCATCCCAGAGATGCTCAGCTCCCAGAAGTCCCTAGGGACAGATGGTGACAAGGCAGCTGGGGAAAAGGGGAATCTCAGGATTCCAGAGATAGCAGCTTGGATCCCTTTCATACCAATGGGAATCCTGAGCTGCCCCAGCTGGGTCGCTTTGTGTTGATGCTGCTGTCAAAACCGGTTTAGCTCCATGTCTGGTTCTCAAGGAGATCCTGCCACCAGCTGAGGGAAACATCAGGCTCGGTGATGGGAAGCGGTGGCAAAACCCAGCTTGTAGGACTCCTGGAGTCCTTACCAGGAGCCTCTTTAATGTCTGCAGACTGTTACCTGTGGAGCCAGTGAGGCTACCTCCTGCTTCCCAGTCAAGAGTGTGGGCCCACATTGGACATGTTTGTGGTGGGCCTCTGGAACATAGGACAGGGGTGTCCCAATGCCTGGTGGCTGCCACTACTCCTTGTTTGCGCAGGGATGTAGAGCCTGTATATGATAGACCATTGGTGTGCCTGTTGCATCTGATATGCTGACACTGCCTTTCCCTTTCTCTGCAGTGATGATGTGCTGGAGCTCTCTATTATGCCCAAAGATGAAGACATTCTTCAGCTGGTGAGTCCTTTGCTAATGAGAACTCCCCCTTCTCTCAGGCCAGGGGCAGCTTTCCAGCCACTTTCTCAGGAAGGGGTTATTCTGAGCTTTCCAGCCACTTTCTCAGAAAGCGGTTATTCTGTGCTTGGAGCTTTTCCCTCTGCAGGGGTGGGAACTAGTCTAAGGCACGTACTGGCACCCAGACCCTGCACTGAGCCCTGTGCAGAGCACTGACATGCAGGGAAATTCCAAGGGTTGTAAGCTGCGCTGCACTCCAGGATTCCAGGAAATGTTTCACAAGTGGCTGCATTGGGCCTCTTGAAGGAAGTTGTCGCTTAAATTTGGCAAGGATGTGGCTTAACTCAGGGATGTGTGGGCTGCATGGACAGTTTGCCAGGGGAGATGTGAGAAGCTGCACGTCACTGAAGTCCTGTCACCCTCACCCTAGATCATAGAGGAGCAGCAATCAGAGGGAAGGATAACATTTTCGAGCATGCTGTGCTCTTCCATGTACCCCCCTCTTCCCTATTGCATGCTGAGACTAGTAAATCTCCACAGAGTGCACTTCTCCATGAAGGACAAGGGCACACATGTCATGCAGTGGCAGCTATTTGGACTGTACTCTGACCCCTCCTGCTTTGTGCTTACGGTGTAGCTGTAGTGCCAGTCAGATGTTGCACCTGAGAAGGTTGGCAGAGCCTCCAAAAAACTAATGGGATGCTGAGTGGGGCTGAACATGTTTTCTCAGGCTTCAGTGAGTCTGCTCTGGATGCAGCTGATTGCAGTGTGAGGGTTATCTGGACAGTGCTAGCACTGAAGGTTTATTTGGGTAGATTAGCTGTAGCTGTTGGTGAAGATGGTGACCTGGGAAAACTCTGTGTGTGCAAAGTCCTCTGAATCTGGACCCCTCCTTGGATCAGAAGTAAGGCAGATGGTGTTGGAGGCCAGGTCTTTAGACACCATTTGTAATACCAGCCCATTGTGATCTCAGTCATTCCGGCCTAGCAAACGCCAAGCATCAGCATTTGGGAGCTGCCCTTGAAGGTGGTGTATTCTTTTTTCAGGCTTCTTCCAGGGCTGGGTAGGAAAGGCTGGATGCCTGCTATTACATTCACTTTGGAGAGGATGTGTGGGGTCCTTGCAGCTCATCCTGTTTCAAATCCATACCCTTATTCTGCCTTGGACTTACCCTTCCTCCTAGTGCTGGCCTTCACCCCTCTTGCAGCAGCTGCAAACATCCCCTGCCTTGGGAGAGTGGACCAAAATGCAACAAAGGGAGGGGAACTTGGGTGGGATGGAGGAGGAGGGCAGGGTTTGAGTAGGGAGAAGGAATCAAGCCAAGCCTGGTTGTAACAGTGGCAGGGCAGGGTGTGTTGGGCTGGGCATGGTGCCAACGATGAAGGTGACACTAGCTGAGTTCATACTTGCAGATTCTTGTCTGTGAGAGGAACGGTCCACTGCCAAGGGCCCTGGGGCCTTCTCCTCCACACAGGATCGTTCCACTGAGATCTGCGCTAGCTTGTTAGGCTGGATGTTGGAATGGCTGGAGGACTCCCTGGCTTGTGTGAGGCAGCATCTCAGGTGACAGGAATACAAGGAGGGTCCTTTCTGACCTGAGAAACCCATCATCTCTGGGGGTCAGCATGATCCATGTCAGGGGAGCCTGGGAGCTGCTGTCTCACAGAAGGGGACACAGAGTCAACCCAGCCCAGAGCCCTGGTGTGTTGGGTTTGTTGTTATGATGCCACAAAACAGAGCCAGGCTGTGGTGACACAGGACCCTTCCTCTCTTTGTCCCCCCACTCTTCCCCTTGGGCACTGGGTGTTGGGGAAGGGAGGGTGTCTCCTTGAGCAAGAAAATCCTGGCTGCCCTGGTGCATTTCTCAAGTGTATTTCCACCCCTTGGAAGCTCATGTGTGTGTCAGGCGGAATGGGAGGGGATGTGGGAGGAGAACTTCTGTGATCCACATCTACCTCCTGGACCCAGATAGAGCAGAGTACCTCAGACTGGCCCAGGGACTGTGTGAGAGTCATGACCAGGGCCCCAGAGTCCCACGCTGATCCAGTGCCCCAGCCTGCATATCTCTGCTGTGTATTGGGACAGAGTCCACTCCCAGGCCATCGCTCTGCAGTATCTGGGATACAAACCCCACTGCTTCAGTACATCAACAGCCACTAGCAGCCTGAGGTCAGGAAGAAACTGCACCCCCTCAGCATTGCCATCAGCAGTGTTATTTATTCAAGAGGAAGTGGGGCCTCTAGCACTTGAATTGGAGCCTCGTTCTCCACACCTCATAAGACAGATTCCTTGCTTCCTACATTTGGGATTGAGAGTGCAGTGGGAAACTGAGGCATAGAGAGAGGAATTGACTTGCCCAAGGCCCCACTGTGGCTCAGTGGCAGAGCCAGGCACAGAGCCCCTTTTCCCCTTTCTGGGAAGCTGCTGGTGCCAACCCCGTGCCCACCAGGTGAGACAGATCCCAGCTGTGATCAAGTGTTGCCCTTTCCCTGGAATTGCCCCAGGGATGGATTTGGCCCAGTGCTCCTCAGCATGCGGCAGGGTGGGCAGGGTGCCTGCATGTTTGTTCATAGTGAAGGATTGTTAACACTGAGGGAAAGGAGATTTTCCCTGTCTTGGAGGGATCCAGCCCACTGGCAGCAGAGGGCAGCAAGAGAGGAGCCCCAGGGACATGTAAGCAGCTGGATGCCAAAGCTTCATTTCCACTGCTTGGATTCCAAAGAAACCTTTGTGCGGGTTCCCCCGGCCGGGTTGCTTGGAGGGGTGTGTCGGCATTCCTGTGGTGTGCAGCCGGCCCCGGCAGCCAATGGCAGGCCTCACCCCCAGGCACCCTGCGTCCCGGCAGTGTCAGAATCCTCCTCCCTCCCACCTCGGGACGTCCCAGGCCAAAAAAACCCCAAACAGCTTAAAAGGAAAAACTGAGAAAGAAAGGAAATGTTAGTCTGGGCCATCCCTGCTCTTGGGGTGGAGAGAAGGACGGGAGCAGAGAGCCAGAGAAGGAGGCTGCTGAACAGAGAGAGGTAATCATTGCAGTGTCTGCGGGGGGGGGGGGGGGGGGGGTGTCCCCAGGGAAAAAAAA